TGGTGTTATATTAGAAATAATTGTTGTTGATATAGCATCATTATCATCATCATTATTATTACTATTATTAATGATGTTATTATTATTAACCACAGGCTTCCTTAATAATGATGCATTATCTTCAAGATTTACTCTACATTTCCTATGCATAGAATATACATCAACATTATTATCTTCTTCTACTTCATTAATTACTTGTTTCAGAAACTTTAAATATTCTTCTATGCTATTATATTCCTTTTCATTTTGATGATAATATTGTAATGATCACTTCAAATCAATAAGTTGTCATGTCAAATCATTAAATCTACTTTGAGCATTAAATAATTCATCCTCTTTAACTCTAAGCTGTACCACCCATTCATTCTCTGCATCTTCCACAAGTTTTTGTAATGCTAAAAATTAATTATCTGATTTATTATATATATAATAAGTTTTAAAATAATAAACCATTTTTTTTTTTTACCTAAAACAACCTCTCTAGATTTTCTATGATTATTAACAAATGATGTAAATGGTTGAATAAAGAAATCAGATACATTTTCTTGAATCATATCTACATCCATATCTTCCTTTGAATCTTCAATGCTCTTTTTTATTTTCAAAAAATATATCAAACAATATCAATAATTTAATAATAAATATATATACATGTACATACATACATGAACTTCATCATCACCATCTTGTTGACTAAAAACAAAATCAGAAGGTTTCAATCCAAGCTTATTTTGAATATCAGCATTTGCACCCATCATAACCAATTTCTCAGCCAATTCATTATTCCCTACTCTTGCAGCAATACACAATGCAGTATCATCATTTTTATCTTGAATGTTCAAAATAGTATTAAGAAATCCACAAACATCTGATTGAAACCATTTCTCTAAACAATCTATATAATATTTTGATACTGCTTCATGTCCTCTAACACCTGAGGACATTCCAATATGATGTATCACTGATCAATTATCTTTATCAGTAATTGGGATTGTGTCATGAAATAGTTTTACCACTTGTGAAAATGACTGAGAATCATAATTATTTGTCACAAATACAGATCTAATTAAAGCAGTCTCCCCATCATAATTCACTTGTTGCATATTAGCACCTCTATTCAACAACATTTCCAAGATTTTTAGTCTTCCCAAACACGCAGCCCAATGTATTGCAGAATTCCCACGACTGTCAATCACCATGTTTATATCAGGTTCAGATGAATATTGAGTAACCAACAAATCCTGTATTAATTCCGGTTTCTCACTCAAAAATATTGCCATTAAAATATTCCCGAGTTGCTCACTCTCACCAATTTCAGGTGACGAAGAATTGTCTGCTGCTGCTGATTCACTAGCGGGTTCTGAATATGTTAAAACCATATCACCATCATCATCACCATTGTGTCAAGAATATTAATTTTGTTACTATAATTATTGGAATGTTCATTAGATTGATTATATTTAGCTTACATATGTAAAGCTGCCATAGCTTGTTCTTTAGTTGGAGTGTATGGAGATGACAAATAAGGAGTATCATATTCTGGTGACATGTATCCAAGGATAGAACATAAACTCTCAAGGGCACCATATTTTGTAGCAAGTTCTTTGCCTTTTTCAAAAGGAATCCTAAAATAATAAAAAATTAGTGATGGTGAAATTGATCATATATGTGCAAAAGGAAAAAAGATTTATTTTATAATTTATTATGGTTATTATGTTAACATACCAAGTTCCTTGATATTTTCCATAACCTCCTTGTACTTTTTCATGTTCTCCTGTTAATATTTCTCTTTCAATGATTTTTTAGCACTTACCTTTATCCAGGCCTGCCACCTTTAGAATTTGTGTTGCATTCAAATAAGAATCCGGGCGTCTACGCATAACAGCAACATCTTTGACAAGAAACTCACATAAACTGGCACTCCATAATATACTGCTGAATATATTGGATTTGACTTTGGGGTTGAAATTGTAGCACTTGATGATTTCTGGATGGCCGATGATCTAATATCATCATCACCACCATTATCAATAATTCTTTCATCAATTGTGTCTTTTAACAAAAAAATCACATAGTTTGTTAAGAATAATCCATGCATTTCACCTTTTAACAAATTTTATAACAAGTTCCATTATTCGTTAGAAAGAAAAATACCTTGCATTGAAAAAAAATTCTATCAATATTAATATTAATATACTAATACTGTGTGTAACGAAAAAACGACGGTGACGAAAATTGTAATAATAATATAAATAAAAAAAATTTCAAAAAATTGCATCAATCTTTGGCTCAAGGGTTTAATTAGCAAAAAAGCAAAAAAAATTCGTGTCTATTTTTGTAAACGTTTAATTGAAGATTACTATTACTTGCAATAAATACTCTTTTTCCGAAAATTGAGTGAGCTGGGATGCCCCTTGTTTAAAGCTAAAAGTCTTTCGAAAGTTTATTATTATTATACGCCAGTATTAATGAATATCCCACTCTAGAGCAGTTGCATAGGGATTCGATATAATCTTAATATCACACTGATAGATGAAAACTCGATGCATGATAAATTTTTATCAAACGAATAATTTGATCAAACATAATCTTTGTTTACATTATCAATGAATGCTCGCCATGTAGGTTTTTTTGAGTGATTTAAAGCGACGAAAACTCAGTCACTTAATATGCAGGTATTCAGCAATAAAAATCAAGTTTTGTTTTAATTAACTCACGAAACTTTCCAGTTGAAAATAATTTTTAGTCAAATGAAATATTGCAGGTGGATAGTAACCTAATAGATGTTATAGAACATTTGAAGGTTTGAATTTTTAATTTCTCAATAAAAAATATTAATGAACGTAGTAGCAAGATGCAAGTCAGATTAAAAAAATGGTTACAATCACAAAAAATATCATTATAAATATTTTTTGCATTATTTGTCAGATAATCAAGTTGCAATAAAGAAACTGAAATGGCAAGAAAGCATCAAGTCAAAGAAATAAAGGAACAACTTTATTAGTTTTAAAAAGAAGAATAGGTGACATTAATTGTTATTTAAATTAATACAAATATTTTATTGTATAATGATTTATATATAATTAAATGATACAATCTATAGAGTTTACATTAGCGAAAAAGATGTTTTACCAGGATTAGAAAAAGTGAAAAAGAAACATTTCAATCAAAGACTAATGGAAGAAATTGCAGATGTTATGTCATATCAAAATATTAATATAATATACACGTGTTTGCTCTTGAGCGAACGAGAGAGATTATTTATAGAAATAAGATTAATTAATACAATAATAATAATTCGAAGAGAATTGGGTAGAATTCAAATAGAAGATGTTAATAGATGATGACGCAATTAAATTTTATGATGACATTATCCAACGGTTTGGTAAATTATGATAGGGAATGACGTTAGAAGGTGCATGAAAGTAACTTCCAATTCAAGACTGTGCATGCATGATTTTTAAAAAATAATTATTTTGGCAATTTTGTATAAAAAATAAAAAATGCTACCCACCTCATACATTGAGCCTGAAGGTCTTACGCAGACAACAATAAGATGTCTCAAAGCGACTCTTTTTGTGTACGACGGTCTTTTTCTGGATGGACTCGTATCCCAATTCTCGAAAATTCAAACATCTCTGATACATTTAATATGTCGTATCTTATTTATTTGTTTGTAAATATATATGCAAATGTGAAAAAGACCCCTATAATGTTTAATTTTGAAAAAACGTTTCATAAAAATAACATTATTCAATTAATTAATATAAAGAATAATTATTCCAAATTAGTAAGTCATCACATTATGTATTTGAATGAATGTAAATAATTTTATATTATTATCTAAAATTTGAATGAATGCTATATTTATACATATTTTGAATAAATGTTATGCCCCTCGAACTTATTATATATTAATATATATTCATTCATAAATCTGGGTTTCTTTCAATTTAATTTAATTTGATGAATTTGGGTTCTATTGTGTACATATATATCAATTAATCTTTGTGTACGGTTGAGTGTCAGATAAAAGATATATTTGGAAAGAAAACAAACATTGTGAAACGGTAAAAAAAATAATATTTTTTTTTGGGATTGTTTCATAATAAATTTTTAATAATATTATTATTATGTTAATATATTGTAATGAAACATTGCTTTTCTTTTTTTTTTATAAACAATTGTTCTTTGGAGGCAACGTACAATTAGATCGTCATAATTAAATTTTTATTGTTGTTTTACACGTTAAATTTCTTGGATTTTACTTATTTATTTTTAATTAGAAAACAATATCAACAAAATTTATAATAATAATATTAATCGTTATCAAAGATTATTTTAGATCAGTATAAAAGCAACGATGAATGAACCTATTTTTATTTTCTATCATCACCTTCAGTCCAAATTTAAAAAATATCATAATCGTAATCATAATCATATTATTATTGTATCAAAAAGAAAAGTCACAAGTATTTTTATTAAAAGAAAAATATTATAATAAAAGTTATTGTTGATATCGCTTTCTTTCTCGCTCTCCCTTTCTCAAAAAAAAAACTTTTACTTGCAAGTTTTTTTTTTGGAAATTTAATTTTTTGAAAAGCTAAAATTATGACAGTATCTACAACATCAGCACAGCATCGTAATAATACTCATCAACTTCAACACCGCCATCAATTAAATCATCCATTACAACGTCGCAATAATCATCAATTACACCATCCGAATGGCCATCATCACCTTCATATTCATAATCAAAAATTAAGCGATACCGGAATTCCCGTATCCTTCATTCTACAAGAACTTTATCATCTTTCGCCAATTTTCTATAACAACAAATCAAAATGTGCCATTCAACTTCACATCACTGGTCTTCCAAAAATCTTTCACATTCATAAAGAATATCTTATTTTTCAATCAATATGTTTTCGTAAAATTTTTGAAACATTGTCTGGTGATATAATTCATCTTCATGTTCCAAGCCCTGAAACATTTGAATGGTTATTAGAATACTTATATACAGGAAATTCTGATAAATTATATGATAGATTAAGATTAGAAAACTATAATAAAGTTTGGAAGAACGTTGAATTTCTTGGCTTGGGATCTGATGTTAGAGCTATTATTCTAGCTTTTTACCAAAATGAAATTCAACCCGAATCCGAATAATATTAATCGTAAGAAAGAATTTTAAGATTTATTAAATATGCAAAAAAAATTTTATATTAAGATTTATTTTGACTTTCAAATTTAGTAGATTTTTTTTTAATTTATGAATAATTCATTATTTATTAGAAATTTGATGGTTTTATTTTTTAAGATTTTAATTCGTAATTAAATTAATAAATAAAAATCATTAAAATAAAAATTTTTTCTCCATTAAACTTTTTTATATGTATTTTGAAGAAGGAACATTCGATCAATGAGGTTAAAAATATTTAAGGAGTTCCATATAATCCTTTGCAGGAAAACAAATCACTAATAGAATTAGAAAAATATTCTAGTCAGATGAAAGGATAAATATGTTTACAAAATAAATATTTATAGTATATTTCAATAAACTAAGTCTAACGCAATTGTTGCTGGTACAGAAGCGGGAGAATTTTCCGACGCTATTACAATCTCCTATAATATTAATATTACCAAGATTTAATGATGATAATACGATGCAAAGTGTTACCAGGGGTAAATTAAAGGTCCAAGAAGTTTCTAATACCGTTAATGCTACTACTGTTAGAATCACTAAAGCAAGCAAAAGAAAAGCCTTGGCTAGTATTGGTAAAGGTAATGTCGAATTTGAGGATGCAGGTACTGGATCACAACAAGAATTCGTTGATGCTTCTGCTACAACAAAAGGAAAGGAAAACTAAAATTGACACAGATGTTAAGATGATAAAATCTGACCAAACTGATACAATATCAGTGCATAGTTAATTATAACAGCGATAATACTAATACCCTAGTAGTAATTTAGTAATAGTAGAGGAAGGAACGATCAAGCAAGTTGTATCAAGCAAATAAATTTTTTTGGTGTTTGTTTCAACTAATATTGCAACAAATAACATTTAAATCCTTCATTATTTTTATTATTCTTCCTTTATTATTATATAATAAATAATAATTAATAATTTGAAAATTGCAAACATATTAATATTAAAATTTCTGCATACACTGCCTTCCCAAAAGTTTCCAAAAATGATCGGGAGTTTGTTTTTTTATTACTCATAAAAGCTAGAGATATAAAATTTTATATTATTATTATACATTTTTGTGCAATTAATAAATTTGGGGTGACCGAAACTTTTGTGGAGGCAGTGTATATCAAATAAAATTGTTCTAGTATGACAAAAAAACTTTTGGGTGATTTAATCAAACAACTATTTTTACTCAAAGGAATTGACATAATTATATAAATCATTTGAAGAAATTTGATAACATTTAATTAGTTCAAGCATGTATATCTTTTTAGTTTCATAAAATCTCTATCATCCCATTCAACAATATCATTTCTTGTTACTAATTCAGAATTTAGACAATTCTCCATTGAAGGACATAATTCCAATTCTCTATTTATAAATTGGTTTTTTTTTCCTAATATAGATTTGAGCAATAAATCACTTCATTACGCTAATATTAATGATTCATACTGTTATGAATGCAATCCATTGCTTTTTTGGTCAACAATTCCTGCAATTTCTTAAACAATTCATTTGGACATAATTCGTTGCAAGCCCAAAGGAGCTTCAATTGGATAAAGATTGATAATTCCATCATAAACGTATCTTATAAAACAACTTACTATAGAAAGAAGATAAACAAATTATTGTTATTAATTGCTTGTTAGGCAAATCAACTATTAAATATTAAAAGCTTACTTTAAAACAATTCTAAATGTTTTTGGAGAACTATTTTTCCATCAGATTTTCTAATTAAATTATTTAATAAAGGAACATTGAAATAAGGTGATCTTGTGGATAATGTGCTCTATAAATTTTAATATCATGGTTTATTCCAACTGTGATTTGCATAAGAATCAGATTCTTTTAAAAGTCCTAGAAGATCATTATAAATTTTCATTCTTATCATATCCTATAATCATTTTCTTTCTCTTCTTTTCCCTTCTTCTTCTAAAGATGTTACTAATAAGCAAACATTTAAATAGGGAGCCATCTGAGAAAGTGAGTCAATTTCTTTTTATCATTTTTGAGATAATAATGCAGTTATATGTGTTTTGAGGTGGCGAATCTTTTCAGCTTAGAAATATCCTCATTTTTATTTTAATGAAATTTTGTGTACCAAAAAAATTGACTCATTTTCTCAATGACCCCAAAAATTTTAGAACAGTTCATAACAACCACTAGATTGGTTCTTTGACTATTATATAAAGTGCCAAATTCATCCAAACAAGCATTTATCTCTATTGGTTCTTATGCTAACAATATTCTTATCAACAATATTAGGTAAAAAAAAATGAACTGGCTTAGAAACCAAATTGCAAAAATTAAAATTCACAATCATTATATGGGAGCTTTTCTAGCAAAAAAGGGTTTCGACCTCATATGACCAAAAAAATTTTTTTTACATAATATTGATCTATAACATAAAGATTATAATTGGCAAAAATATTAGACCCTGTTTGCTTAATAAAAAAATGGAGAATTGTAGGCCGGATACCTTTTTAAAGTAATTTGCACGCGATCTACATACCCCATTTTTTATTGTTACACGCAATAATTTAATTAAAAAATAAAATGTACGTTTATTATAAAATAAATTAATGAATGTTATAAAAATACATATTGAAATAATAATAAATGAATAACAAATTAAATTTAAATAAGTACTAGGTTCTGGACAAAGAATATCTTTAAGTGGGTCTTGTACATGCTGGTGAATTTTTGTATACAAATATATTTTTCTTTCTTCTGTTAATGGAGCAGCCTCAAAAATATTTAATTGACCATCATCAGAAAATTTTCCCTGCCGCAATATTACGTCTGTAAATTTTAATATGTAAAGTTGTAATATTTGCATAAAAATTATGTAATATTTACACTCGATGTAATAATTGCATAATTTTTGTATGCTTATTTGCATAATATTACGGGCCCGCTGTAAACTTACGTAAATAGTGTAATAATTACATAAATCTGCATCAGAAAAATTTCCTGATGTATTCAATTCGATTTGAATGAAATGAATCAAAAATTAAGTGATTTGATTTGAATTGAATTCGAATTTCATTGATTTGTTTGGAGCCTTATTAAAGATAATAAAAAATAATTAATAAATGGTGAAAATAATTATCTTACCCACCCAATTCTCCAACTTTAACCCTATCAACTACTTATTATTATTATTACTATTATTATCATAGTTAATTAATAAATAATCATATTTAGTTGATAAATTCAATTAATTAATAAAAAAAATCATATTTAAAATGATAAGTTCAATTAATTAACCAACTACTCAATTTGCCTTATTAAAATATTTCATTAATATACACTTATGTTTTTAATAGTGAATGCCGTAATTAATTTCTACTTTCTACCATCAAAATTGGAATAATTTTGACCATCAAAATCACCAAACCAATTTGGGTTGCATGTATATTCATTAACATCAAGGCCACTTAATAAACTATCATTGCTTTTTAAATTCAATTTAGAAAATTCATCATTTAATATTCTACTTGTACAATATCCTAATGGATGTGATTTGTGGAATTACTATTATTATTACTCTTATTAAGATAATTACTACTACTTATTATTATTATTATTACAGTCACCACAATCACTGCTAATTTCATTATATTATGAGAAAATCACCAAAGCTCCCTAATAGCTGGTCTCTTGGTTTGATCCACATCCCAACAACATCTTGTACATAGTCATTAGGCGTAACTTTAGTTCAGATTCAAAGAACTTTGCAAAAATCATCTAAATCAAATTAGTGTTCCTAAAATATTGATTGGGATAAAGTAAATGAGGATATTGCTAATAAAAGTGCCAATTCAAATTTTTCTACATTAATCCTAAATTAAAAGAATGTTTAAAAGAACATTTTTCAGTGATTAATAATTTTTATTTATGAAAAAAAAAAAAGGATAGAAGAACATGTAAAATATAGTTTTTAGATATGAAAGATTTTAATTAATTATTTAATTATTTAAGAGTCTTTATCAACAACATCCAATTCATCACTAAATACAAATAGTAAATATGTTTCTTACTAAGGGTTTCACTAAATATCATTGAGGTATCATTAACATTTATAATTTTTTTACATAGTATTAAAAGAGACCAATACCACCAATGCCAATATCACCATTTATGTAACAGCATGAACATATGGGCATACTGCAACAAAACCAAACAAAGTGAACATTTGTATTACCAAAATTTTCAGGGATCAATATTGTTGGTTTAACATCACAATTAGTTTTATTTGTTAAGTGATATTAATATATAGAACTATCCCTATATAAAAATAGTTAATATGAAAAATTGCACCTTACAAGCTTATCTAAGAAGAGAAAGAATTACCTATGAAATTTACCAAGAAAAAAGAAAAATCATAAACATTACGAAAAGAAAGCAGGATGAGGATGTACAATTACAAAACAATAGACAGAGACCTTTGGAAGAAAAATAATCTTATTATTACAATATTAATCTTTTTTTTTTTTTGTAAAACTTCTTTAAAAACATAGTTTAAACAAACAACCATGAATAGAAAAGTTGTCATAATATAAAAAAAGGTTCAACTGTTAATTGATGGGATGAAGAAGAACAAGAAATCATTAAATTTTGCTGTTGAGATTGTTTGCAAAATTTAATTCAGCAAAGAATTAGATAATAATATTGCTGACTGAGAAAGAGACTTTTAAGGAAACCTTAACAATAAAGAAAATTTTTTAAAAAAATTTACATTAACAAATCTAAATATACATGGGATGGTAATTGATTTTATCACCTGTAATTAATTTCATATTTAATATTAGTAATTAAGTAATTATGTAATTATGTAATTACGTATTACATATTACGTTTTTGGCAAAATAACTACCATCCCATGTATAGTCTAAATATGTGGGTTGTACAAAAAGTTTGAGAAAATACATGTAACTTGATGATCTTTTCTTTAATAAAAGTAAAAATGGGAATAAAAAACCCTTAAGCCACAATCTTTTAAATAAAAAAAAAATCATTCAAATTGAGTCATTTGTTGTTAAGTTATAAATTTTTAAAGTTTGCCAGTATAAACAAATGGAAAATTCAAAATGTGAATACCAAAGATACTACATTTTTGTTAGCTGGAAAAATAGCAAACCAGCTAAACAAATTCAACAGGAATTACAGGTTGCTGAGAGGTCTAATGCAGTATCTTTAGCATCTATTTATCATTGGATTGAAGCATTTGAAAGTGGAAAAAACAATGTTGAAGATGATTCATGTTCTGGACATCCTCAAGAAACTTCCACCCTTGAAAACATTGCAAAAGTTGATGATTTAATTAGTGACGATCCTCATATGACAATTACAGCTATTGAAGAGAATGTAGGTATTTCTAGAGGAAGTATTCAAAGTATTTTACATAATGAATTAAAAGTTCATAAAATTTGTAAAAAATGGGTCCCGCATGTTTTAACTGTTGAAAATAAAAAATATTGGGTTGAAATTTCTAAGCAATTGTTAGGAATCCTTGATAATGGGACTTAATAATATTATCACAGGTGATGAAACTTGGTTTTATTTTTATACTGTACCAAGTAAAGAATCAAATAAAACATGGGTTAAAAGTGGGGAAAATCAGCTGCAAATTGCCAGAACTGCACAAAATGCTAAAAAAGGATGTTTTGTGTTTTTTTCTCAATAGAAGGTGTTGTGGCAAGAATTGTTGTACCAAAAGGTCAGACTGTAAATGGCACATTTTATAGAACAAATGTATTGCCTATTGTATTTTCAAAATATAAAGAATTAAAAAATAGAAAAACAGTAAGAATGTGATGATGCATCATGACAATGCTGCTCCACACAAATCAAAAATTGTAATAGAGTATTTAGAAGAAGAAAAAATTATTTCGCTCCCCCACCCTCCATATAGCCCAGATTTAGCTCCTTGTGACTTTTTTCTATTTCCTAGAATTAAAAAGAGCTAAAAAATCTGCATTTTGATCATATTGAAAATCTTGCACATGCAATTCAAGCAATCACAGATGGCATCACAAAAGAGGACTATCAGAAATCATTTGAAAATTGGAAAAATAGGCTACAAAAATGCATAGATAATGATGGAAACTATTTAGAAGGAATGCATTAGTTATTTTAGCTTTTTTCAACCTTTTAGATAACCAATGTACAAGGCTTGTTTTTGTTGATAATTTTTAAAATTCAATATCTCAATAACTAACTGGTAAAAGAAAGTAATCTTTTTTTTATTTATTACACTTAAAATCATCAAGTTATGTACCTTATGACAAAAATCTCCAGTTGTTTTTGTTGTTAATCTTTAAAATTTAATATCTCAATAATTAGCAACCAAAAAAATATTTGCCTTTTTTATTTGAAAGATGGGAACTCTGTCTTTTATTTAAAAAAATTTCCAAATCAATTGCCTTCAAATTTATAAAGTTACATGCATTTTCTCAAAACTTTTTGTACAACCCACGTAAATCATGAAAACTTTGAACCTTCACTTCTAATATAACCTACCAAAATCAATTTGATTGATTTAATCAAATTATACCAAGATGTAAAGAAAAAATTTTGCTGATTTCAAAAAATTTATAATTCCTTGAAAATCACTTCCATTGTCGCAACAGAATTTCTATATTCTATATGGGAGTTGGACTAGGAAAATCAACCTCTGGGGTCTCAGGACCAAAATCGAGATCTTTATTTATATGATTCTGAACAATAAACATCTTTATATGGTTCACTAACATGCTGACAAATTTTTGAATACAAGTATTCTTTTCTTTTTTCTGATAATGATGCCACTGGAAGAACCTCTGAATGATCAATAAAGTCAAAATTATTTTTTAAAAGTAAAAAAGAATTTTCAATTCCATTTGATTCTTTTGAAGCATAAACTTTTCCAATATCATCTTTTTTAAAACAAAATTAAAAATGAGTTAAAATCATGCCATACCCAATCTAATTCACTATTACATCTAATTGCTTCATTACCTTTAGATGAATTAATAACAATATTTTCAATATCACCAACAATGTTTACAGATTGGTTTCTGTATAATTTTTTAATTTTGCCAAAAAATGAGTCACAGATGAACTTGGTGTGTCCAGGAATCATAAAATTAATTATAATTTCATCAAACCAACCAAACATCATCAACCATGACCAAAACCAAAGAGTTTAGTTATTCTTATTTTGTGCAGTGCAGTTATCACAAGTTATTTGTAAAATTTTTACATCATCTATGGAAAATTCTTTAAGAGAATTAAATGCCATGTTTAATGTTGTATTAGCACCCCAAAAGGAAACTCATTTTCAGCAATTATGTAATTTAGTTGACAATTTTCTTCTCCTGTTTTACAAACACCAAAAATATTTACAGCAAATGGTGTTTTAAAATAAATTGATCCAACTTGTTGAGGCGAATATGGGATGCCAACATTCTGAGCTCAATCATAACAGATATGTAGAAATGATGAATCAGTTTTACTTTTTTCTATATTATTATTATAATGCATACGTTCATGATATGCAAGTTTATGGTGTTCTCCATATTCCTTTTTTATTTTTTCATAATCTTCATATCAGATTTTGCAACTATCATTTTTGCTTTAAAAATCTCACAATTGTCACAAAGATCACTTGCTGGAGATTGAAATTTAATAATTGGGACTTATTCATGCCATAATCTTTGAAAAGTTCTATTGGAAATTATTTGTATATTTTCATCATGCTCAACATAAAAATGGGGTTTAAATTAATTATATACTGAAGTATATGTTTTCCCTATTGGAAGATATATAAAGGCATCAGAATCATCAAAATGATGCATTGGTGATGATAATCCAAATATGTCTCCATATTGCAACAAAAATTGTTTAACCATTAATCCAACTTCTAAATCAACTTGAGCACAGGATTCAATTTTAGGCACATGTCCAATGTTTTTATGAAGTCTCTCTGATAATCCATTAGTCTGCAAATCATCTTGCAAGGTTTTAAGCATATATTCAGTAATCCCACATAATTTTATATATACTGGCTGACATAAAGGTAAATTATAATTAAAATTATATCTATGTATATGTATAACTGACTTTTCACTGGTTGTTTCAAAGGACATTAATTGAGCTTTTACAAATAATTCTAGTTCATTTTTTTCTAATGCACACAGTTGAAGATGTCTTTCAAAAAATTGCTTAAAATTTACTTTCTCATAACAAGTCCTTAAATCTATTTTTGTGGTTTTACAATTACACTTATTTTCTTGAAAAAATATCATTAAATTATGTATGGTATCAAGAATTAATTCATTTTCTTCATAATCTTCTAAGCCTAATTCTATCAAATCATATGTTGGTCTTATATTTGAATCTAAAGGCAAATTTTCTAAAGTACTTCCATATCAATTTAATAAAAAAGAAAAAGATATAAAATTTGTTTAAAAAAAATTTTTATTAAATATTATTACGATGATGATAAAATTTTTTTTTGAAAATTTTTGCGCACAAAAAAAAATCTAAAAATAGTAACAAATTTTATTGGTTGAATTTTGATCAATGATTACTCAAAAAAAAAAAATAGCTGAGGGGTCGATTTTCCTTGTCCAAAAGTCCAAATCCCATATATTTTTTTTAATTAACGCGTTTTTTTTTAACCTTTTATCTTAAAAAAAATGACGAAATCTAATTCAGCAAAAAATGATGTGGTTCTTCCGCCTAATCTTTATCATGAAGGTGAGGTTTTTTTTTCACCTATAATTGCTTGCACATTTTGGGATATTTATCAACTTCCGATTTGTAGAATATTGGACAGGTACGAGTTTCCAAAACTGGTCAGTTGAATCATTCGATATATTTTGGATTCAGAAAAACCCGAGTCTATATAGAAGACAGGATCTAGCACATTCTGCGTTGGGCAACGAATTGGCGATTCTCGCCAGAGCATCTGATAAAAGAATAGCGGATAAGGCATACTTGTTGAAGAAACAACTTAATTTTAAGGTCAGTTCGTGTGCAATTGGTTGCAATTAGTTACAGTTGATTTTTTCTTTAAGTCTCAAAGGTGACATTTAATTGAAATTTTCATCTTTAAATGAGACGTCAGGCAAGGTTGCATGTCACTACGCCCCTCGATGCTTTCGAGGAGGGTTTTGATGCTTTCTTAACCCGATGGGGAGGAGAAGCGTGATAGCTTCACTTATTATATGTGATTCTTTTACGTGTATATCCCTACTGACCGATGTCCATAAAAAATGCCATGTATCATTCATCAGTTCTCTCTATTCTCTAATTTTTTTATCAACCATAAAAGAATGAATCATCACAGATTAACAAGATTATTTGGGAAAGAAGCAAAGATATAGCAGAGTCTCAAATACATTTAACATTAAGCGAACTGCAAACCAAGGTAATTCAAGATTGGATCCTTATTACTTAGTGCTTCAATAATCTTATTAGTCTCCCTAATTTTCAGACAAATATTGAAACATCCCTGATTGAGGAAATCAACAGTTCCAAAAGAAAAATACGTCACTTTAAAGACCACGTTTTGGAGCAAACAAAGGGTAATTGCCAAAAGATGGAGTATCACAAGAATGAGTAAAATCAAGGTGATGAATATAGTGATTTACACGTACCATCTAGTCCAACACCATTCTCATCACTGCAGTTATTAAAAGAATATTCAATCGCACAATCATCTTACTCTTCGAGATTGTGCTTTATACTCAAAAGCGGAACAATTGTAAAAGATCTTCTGGATCATATACCTCACAATAGTTTCTGGAGTGGGAATCATCTAATTCTTGATAAAAGCAATGGTTGGCTTTTAAATGGATATATGAAATTAGAAGACTTTGAGGAGTTGGTGGAAATTTGTTACTCTCATGGTGCTGTGGGACTGCCAATAGAATTAAAATTAATGCTTAAAAAATTAATGAAAAATCATACGGTACTATCATTGAGAAAAATGCAATTATCAATGCAACAAAAATTAGATCTTAACGATCCATACTTTTATCAAAAGAAATGGATCTTATCAACTGTTGATAATTGGTAAGCAAATTTAAAATTGAATTAATTGATTTATAGTTAGTTATATTATTATATTAATCTAGCCGATATAGATTATTAATAATTAGTAATTTGTTACACCATATATTAGGTTAGATTATATAGAATTATCTTCAAAGATAAAAAATCCTTTAATTAAGATAAATAGCGAAGTCATAAATCGGCATCAATTTACTATTCTCTCATTGATCGTTTGGCCCTTCAATATTTTCGTACTCTTCGAGCTGGTTCATCTTCTGAAAGTTCATTGTTTGCATTACATGAAGTTGATGCAAATTTACGTGCAAAACAACCAGATATTTACTTTCGTGATGACATTCTCAAAGTCGAGCCTGGTGAGTATAGCCGATGTTAAGTAGCTCAACATAATCAAACCTTTCATTCTTATAATATAATATTTTCTTAATAGGAAATGTAGAGATTGCAAAGGATGGTTTAATACAAGATATAGTTAAATATGATCTTGACACAAACAAGAGCCTTCGGGAAAATATATATGAAATCTATTATACGTATGACAATCTCCCCACCTCAAAAAAGGAAAAAATTTTTGAGATGGATTTTATAGCCTTTGTAATCTCTGGTATGTTATAAATTCAAATAGAAAGAAAATACATAAATAATCTTGATACCTAAAATTTATTTTATTTACTCAGACAATCATATAGATACGTATGTAACTAGATTGGTTGATAACCAACTTTATATCTCTACCAAGGTTTGTGAAATCCAATATCATCACATTAATATGCAAGATTTCTTCTTATTAACTTCTACGGTATATACCTCTAGATTTAAAGTATGATATATCCTACAGAGTTTGCGACAAACGAGCTGATTTGTTGCATGAATAAAATTCTGAAAATGATTGTAAGTGAAACATTCTTTTTGTAGTGTATACTAATTATTTATGCTGATCTTATAGTCATTTTTCACTTAATCAAATAGTTGCGAATGAATCAAACTGTGGAAACTATGCGCAAGGCAAAGATGGATGATGCAGATCCACTGATTGATTCACCGAAAAAGTTTACATATTTTTACGATCCTCGTATTTTACCTTCTGTAATCTCCAAAAAAAAATCAAGTGACAAGAAGAAAAATACTAAGAAAAATTAAGAAAAATGTTTGTTAATTGCTGTAAACAGAGTAAATGTATGTAAAAAATTGATCTAGTTTAAATAGACATTTAGAAAGTTAGAAGATATTTGCGTAACCTCAAAAAAAATAAAATAATAAAATAAAGCATCTTTCAAAAAAATTTTACTTTGTATTTGATCACGTTTACCTCACTATCATTAATAATACGAGAAAGTGAACCGTTATTACAGTCAGGCGTGTCTGAAATTGAGTGCGGGGGTTTGTGTTACATAAAAAATGCGCACATCTGATCACAAAAAATAATTTTTTAAATGTAAATTTATTTGATAAAATTAATATATTGGCATAAAATTAAAAAAAAAAAAATTTATTTTAATGATTTTAATTAAAAAAATTAAGCTTTAAAATTAATAAAAACTATTTTCTCTCTTTTTTATTTATCCAATGTTCATATGCTTTTCTAAAATCAAAATCTTGGGTGTCTGGCCCATTTAATAAAATCATTAAATGGTTGTTCAATGTATTTGTATGCATTTGGTTTCTCAACTCATTTTTTATCAACTTCATTTCTGAGAATATTCTTTTTACATGTGCATTAGGAAAAGGTATAAAAAGTATTATTTTAACTGTAATCATTGAATTTGGATAATTGAAAAAAAAACTATCATCTATATCTAAAATATATTTCCATGATTCAACAAAATTCACTTGCATATTTTTGTAAGATTTTAGATAAAATTTTAGAGTGTTCCATTCTTCTATTAGTTTTCCTTTTTCAATTATTTCATCATACATCAATTTACTATCTCCGTAAAACTTATCCAAAAACTCTATCTCTTTCCGAACATACAGATCTAAATCACTATCAGTATCAGGAAGTTCATTTGGATCAAAAATTTTAAATGAAGAAAATAGTTCAGAATCAGGGAATCTATTATTGATGGCCTTTATCATTGCTAGTGAGTAATCTTTAACAAATGAAGGTACTGGACAATTGTTTTGTTCTAAATAATTTTTGAATATTATGCCATAACTTGGTGGAACTTCTCCATCACCTATAAATTCTACTGTTATCTCTTTAGTTGTAGCATCAATGCTTGGTTTGTATTGTGATAAAGATAGATTATCTAATTGAAATATTTTTATTAATTTTTTCAGAATATTTGTTAAATCAGCGAGAAACATTGTTGCAGTACTAAAGTTATGATCCAATTGTCCAAGTAAAACATTTGCATGCTTATCTCCATCTAACATATCTTCATTTAAAGCAGCAAGTACTGAATTCATAATTTGATGTAAATTATGCACAGAATTTGATAATGATAACCACCGAGTCTCACATAATTTCAATATTTTAAGTGTTGGCTCATCATTAATTTCCTGCATCAATTTCAGTAAGTCTTGCCTTTTATGTGATTTAGAAAAATACAAATATAAATTTCGTAATATTTGTTCATATTCTTGAAAATATTCTATTTCATCTGAAGCATCTTTTCCAGCTAAATGAAGTCGATGTGATATACAATGAATTGAGGACATAAAAGGATTGATTTCTTTTAATCTTGTAGCAACACCAGTTTGATTTCCTCTCATATTAGAAGCTCCATCACTTCCAAAATAAATTATTTTGTTATATGATATTTCATTTGAAGTACAAAATGATAAGATTTGACTATAAATATTTTCTGCTGTGGTAGATTCTAGATTGATCATGCCCAAATATCTCATATAGGGAATGTTATTAACAATATATTTTCCCACAATTGCTAAATATTTACTATTGTCAATGCTGTTAGCTTCATCAATCATTATACTCCAATAGATTGAGGAATTCAATTCCTCAAAGAGTGATTTCTTTATTACAGAAGCTATACTATCCAAAAAATCATGAGCAGAATTAGGATTTGTATAGCTTCCATATATTGATTAGGAGTAGGTGTACTTCCTAAACCAGCAGGTTTTAGAGTATAAGTTTTTTCAATAGTTACTAATTGACTATTATTCTCAGACTGTAATGTTGTTAATTTACATAGGTCAGGATAAATATTTAAGGAAAGATTTTGTTTAGATAGAAATAAACATTTCTAATTAATGAAATAATTGTTAATTTTTTTTTATTTAATTCATTTCGAAGTTGTGATTCTGACACTTCATGTTCACTGGTTTTTAAATGTCTTTTAATTCCTTCTAGGCTTAAATCTGTTGTACCTATTGCAAATTTTGTACTTCCATTTCTACTTCTGCAAAGTTTACAAAAAAAAGGACTATATTTTCATTTTCTTCACATTTTAACCATGTGTAATCATGAAAAAAATCTCTGTTAACATGTTGTCTATGATGTGTTGATTGATTAAACATTTTTAAATGAATCAATTGTAATAAAATTTGTTCTTTTTTAATTTATTTGAAATACTAAGCTTTCAAAAACATCTTGTATTTATACTACTTTAACAGAATCAATTATATTGTTAATAAAAATGAATTAATTATTTTAGGATGATAAAGAAAAAATAAGAATTAAACATCAATATTTATTGTTAAAAATAGAAAAATAAAACCATTTTATTTATTTTTATTTACTTTTTAAAATATAATTAAACCCAAAAACATTAATGATTTATTGTTAACAAAAATTGAAATAACAATAGTATTTTGTTTATTTTTATTTTTAAAAAAATAGAATTAAATCCCAATGTTTATTTATTTATTGTTAACCAAAAATAATAAAAGTATTTTATTTTACTTTATTTAAATTCAGTTACACGAAATTTTTCTGCACAAATCCTGCTAAGAGATTATTGGGTATCTTTAATGTAACACAAACCCCCGCACTGAATTTCAGACACTGGGTAGTATGCCATGAAGGGTTGATGCTGTTTTAGAAAGTAGAGGAAACCCGACAAGATATTAATTTTTTTTTAATAAAATATAATCAATTTAAAATAGTTTCATCTATTTTTTAATGTCTTTTATGTTTCAAATTAGTGAGCAGTTGGAGATTGAATCACTTTGTAAAAATTTTTACAATTTATTTTTTTCCTCATTAATTAATTCACCAAATGCTCTAAAATTTTAGAAGTAACTAGATTTAAACATGAGACACATTTTTTACTTATACCACAAAGGTCATTAGAACTTGCTATTGTGGTCAATTTTCGAGTCAACCATTTTTCAGAAAATTCCGAAATTTTCATTTTTATCTTTTAAGGTTTGTAAAACAACAATGTTTTTATTTATATGCGGTGAAACTTCAGTATATTATAATATTTGATATGAAGGTTAATTACTTAATAAGCAGGTGTGATTGGGATAGTAAAATTTTTAGTTATTGTCATGTCACTTTATTCAATTATTTGCAATGATCAGCAGGTGTCCCTATACTTTTGATCAGGAAGTGTGATAATCATCAAAATTCTGCATGCTATAATGATGTGCTTTTTAGTATTTTACAATTATTTTGTGATTTTGCATTTATAATTTAATATATCCAAAAGATTCAATGAGAAAAACCAAAGTTAACCTCAATTGAAGGAATGGATTATTCTCCTCGGGAAAAACTAGTATAACAGAAAAAGTAAAAACTTGACTAAGAGTAAGATTAATTGCATAATTATCAGAACTGGCAGTTACTACCATGCTGCTTAGTGTTCCATGTCACAACCCAAAAGGGAAACAAAATGGTTGTAAAGGTGGTTGCAATCATTTTTGTATGATGCAAAGGTGGTAGCAACCATCATCAAAAGTTGCAGCTGATATCCTTAATGCTGCTCCAAAAATAGAAAGTGAAACTAGTGATTATGACAACCCAAAAAATTTAGCAAAGAAGTTGCATTTAATGATGTTAAAATTTTAAAAGAGAGTGGTAGTATCAATTCTCCTGTTTATGAGATCAGCACAAAAAAAAATCCTAAACTTATTAAAAGTACTCTTGTATAAAGATGGGAACCACAATTAGTCACAATTCAATTTTCATATGCTGATTCTGCAAATGCAATTCAATTTTTATATGCTGCAATTAGTTGCAACTAGTCACAATTAATTGAGGAGCCATCTTTACTTTTTTTTTCATTAATATTAACAAGTAAAAAAATTGGAAATTTGGCAGATCTCAAAATTTATATAGAAGCAGACTCAAAGGAAAGACAGATAAACCAAGAGGTAATAAAAATGTACAAGATTTTTGGAGAGAAGTAACTTCATTGTGAAAAAAAATTCATCAGAACCACTAAAAATCATGTAGAATTAGTATTAAGAATGTTGGTCCTATTGACTTATATTTTAAAGATGAGCAAGAATTTAAAAAACAATTACAATTAACAAGAGAAAACAGTTTATCATCTGAAACTAAAACTATCAACAAGTCAGAAGAGAAAAAATCAAGCCCTTATCTTAATCTATGCTTTTGAATTGATTACTCGACTTACCTTATATGGAGGATATTGAAATTAGAGAGCAAGAAACAATGAAAATAAGATAGGAAACCACCACAATTCTCTTATGATGGTATCTAGCAATTTTGATCCCTGAAATTCTCAGTAATACAAATGTTCACTTTTTCTGGTTTTGTTGAATATGTCCCATATTATTTGTTCCAGAATTGAGAAGAAGGTCTTGCTTGGCTTTAATTCTATGATTTGTTTTGGACTTACGTTTCTATTTTGGAGTAATTAAAGGATCTGCAAAGCCAACAAAAATAAGGACCAAAATTTTACAATTTCCCGGCTTTGCCGGAATATGGATTTTTATATTTAATCATGATTTCTCCCTAATACTAATATACAAAAATTAAATATGGAAACTAAACAGATGTTTTAATACCTTTTCGAGTATGTTTGCTTGTCAAACACAAAGATTTATTGAGAAAAAAAAATATAAACAAACCATCAAAATAAACTAAATAATAAACTTTTTTTTTCAATTACACCCCAAAAAAATCTATAAAGCTTTTTTTTTTCTTTAAAAATAAACGCGACTAAATTATTTATCAATCAATCGATGTTACTTTTTTTTTCTTTCTTCAAAAAAATATATTATTTTTCTCTACGAAAAAAAAAATAATATTTTTATATATATCGTATATCAAAGTTGTAAATATCTATCATATTAATAAATATTAATAGGTATTTATTTTTATATACTGCATGTTTTCGTGAACAAAATTTTACAACCTGTCATTTCTAATTCTAATATTATTAACACTAGTTCACAATGAACGTTAACGAAGAAAGTGAAATACAAGAAGTTGTTCGCCTTTTAACCGAACAACCCATCATTGACTATTCCAAAGTTAAAGACATTTATGAGGTAAATAAATGTTTACAATATATAGATGTATACCGAGTTGGAAATTTCATGAAATTTTAAACAGCATGACTCATATAGTTACATGAATGGGAATTTTAATACAATACACATACTTATTTCATATACACCTATATGATGTTCAACAAAATTAGGTTGCCAAAAAATTGAGAGCGCGACTTCGACTTGCATATACTAAAATAAAATGGGGATTACACAAATGTGATATGGCAACATGCGAAAGAATGGTAGAACAGAAGTTACAAGATTATAAGAATTTCCCTAACAAGAAAAGGGTGCACATTCCATTTCACGTTTCTCCTGTACCTCCATCAAAAAATGGGTTCACTGGTGAAAAGGCTAAAGCTGTTTACGAAATACTTGATTCATTGACACATAAACCAAAACCTAATTCAAACAGTAGGGCTAATAATAATAATGACAACGACAACAATGACGATGATGTCTACGATGATAAGACAAGAAATAGTTATTATATTAAAAGGAAGAAGAATAAGAAATCATTATTAAATTCTTATGATTTCACTTCCGCCAATAATATTATTTACATCAATACTCCTCTTTCCATCAGTACTCCACTTTCCACTCGTACTTTTATTTCCACCAGCACTCCTCTTTCCGCCAGTACCATCAACTCTTCTGCCAGTTATTCCCAAAGGATTATAAATAATAGTTAATTAATTATTATTGTTGTTATTATATATATATTTATTAATTAATTTACACGGATTATTAATTCTTATTAATTATTTATTACAGTACAAAGACAAGAAATGTCAAATTTACAACGCGCAAATTTACTCGGCACAAATTTATTTGATCTAGAAATGAGACATAATTCTGTAGATCCCTATTTAAACCAAATTCAACAAAATTGTGATGGTGCCTACACCACTAATAACAACACTGATCTTAACAGCAACATCAACCTTAGCAACAATAGTATTTATCTTAATAGCTATAATAATGTAAATTTTAATAACACTAATACTAATCTTGATACCAACAACGTCAATATTAGCAATCTTAATCTTAATATCGAAAACAACAACATTAGCAATTTTAATCCTAATAGCAGGAACATTTCCTATAATAATAATTATTATGATCCATGGAACTTAAACACTACGAATCTTAGATCGACAGCTTCTCCTTCCCGTAGAAGAAAAGCAGACTGGGATGATGCAAATCTCAAACAAAAAGTTCAAAAATCAAGTCCGTGCAAAGAAAATTTTAATTCGGTGTTGTCATCACCATCCTACAACAAACAAAAAGAGCCAATTCAATGTCCAGGAACTCCACCAAATCAAATTATATCTATCAACGAAACGAAAACACCAGATACTGCTTTCTCGTTAAGCGAATATTTGAACATGTCACCAATGTAAATTTTCTCTTATTTCTAATTAATTAATAAAAAATAATTAGTTTTAAAATAACATGTATTATATATAATAAAATTATAATATCTACATTTCTGACATACTGTGTAAACAATTAGTGTGTTACCCAATGTAATGTTGGCAAGAACTTTATAATTATATTAATATATAAAATATGACAACTCCGACATACATATATATATATATATATATATATATTTAAAATATTAAAACTTTTCAATATTTATTAATATATTGATTTTTTTTTTTTTTTTTTTTTGAAATGAAAAAATTACAAAATTAAAAGCAGAATATTAAAAAAAAATAAATTATAATAATATTATTTAAATCTTCACCGATTCTTTGGTTATAACAATAACAGGAACTTCCAATTTCAAAGGTGCCAACATAAATTTATCAAATCTTAATGTCATGATAAATTCATGTTTAATTTCCAAAAACGAAACATTTAAATCAGGTTTCATTAAACTGTTGATTGGAATTTCAAACTTTACATTTACATTGGTGTCAGTAATTGTAGTGATTGCTGTTGTGTTAGTGTTTGGTGGAGAATCATCTCCTATGAGCAATGATGATGATGATAAAGGAATTGTAAGCGGCGGAGCTAAAAGTGGGGTAGTGTGATGAGGACTTGGTATAGCTACATTGGAAAATGCATGTATTTTTGGTGCAGATCTTGTTGTTGTTATCGGTTTTGATTTGACTGGCGTTGTTGGACTATTAAGAAATGAAAAAATTTTTTGAATTAACAAATATTTAAAAAATAGATAAACACACACACACATATATATATGTTGACATTGATATTGATATATATTGACTCACGGCTTAGAAGTTGCAGAAGAAGAGGAGGCGGAAGAATTGGGTGAATTGGATGAATTGAATTTAGAAAAATTATACATTTCATATTCAAATGCTTCAACTTTAACTTCTTTTACGCCCGCTTTATCTAAAGATTCAAAAGTTGCATCCACCATAACAACTCCACGAGTTTTTTTATTTTCATCAGCATTATTTTTATCACGATTGACAAAATTATTACTATTGTCATCACTAACTTGATCATTGACTGCATCATCATCAATAATCAAATATTTAGTTACTAACACTATATATTTTAATAAGCCTTCACGTTCTCCCTGATAAACAGCCTTTTCATCAACATCGATCTTATTTACATTTATTCCGTCTGAAGAAATAAAATTTCTTCTCAAATAAATATTTTTATTAGTTTTATAAATTGCGTGAGGAGATGCTTTTGTTAATTCAGCGGTCAACACATATCTTATAGCAGCATGCTTAGCCTCAACACTAGCATATAAATTTTGAGGCTGTTTAATGACAATGGTGAAAGGCAATAAATTTTCACCTGTGTTATAAGTTTTTGTTACATTGACAATTGTCTGTTTTTGCTTTATCAAATCTTTTGTTACAAAGTTTCTTGTTGTTGCTTTTTGTGATTGATTAAATTGAGAAAATCCATGAAGCTTTAAAACTACCTGAGTAAGTTTTAATGGCGAAGTCAAGTTTAATTTTATGTTGCCTTTTATTGATAAAGGAGAATTGTTAATTGGAAGATATAAACTTTTGGATCCAAGTAGAATTTCACACGATTTAATTTCTTTCATTGTTGACATTTTTAATGTGAAAAATTTTTTTTTTAAAAAAACCCAAAAATTTGAGACATTAATATTTATACGTTAGATTTGTAACACCTTCATATACGCCATTATTTTTTTCATTTTCACTATTACTATTATTATTTCTTTGTTAAAGCATACTTAAGGTTTATCCAACCAAATAAATAAATTAATAAAATATTAATTCAAAATGGATAATTGAACAAGACAAGCCGAAACGATCATCCCATAATAAATTAATATTAAAAAAAGACGACGGTCATCGCCTTTTCTTTGTTTAAGCACATAATAAATAAATAAAAAAGGATGGATTTATTCAATTACTGGTTTTTATCATGTGCTTTACGTTTACGCGTATAATAATATATATTAATATAATAATAATAAAATAATGAACCAATCAGAGCTGTCGATGATGCATTTAACAAGCAAGGGCTATCTATATTTAAAGAATAATCAAGGGTTTAAAAATAGAAAAAAGAATCATTATTATATCGTAAAGATCAATCAAATAGCTTTTATTGTTATTCCTTTCTAATCAACAAATAAATGAATAATAAACAAACCTTTTTTTTCTAAAATTAGATTCCTCTTCTTAAACTGCCTTTCGTATTACATTGATTACAACGATCGATATTCATCGTCGCCTGCTTTTGTTTCACTGACTGACTACTATATCTCTAGCATCATCATCATCGTCATAGAACTACTAGAACTATATAAAAGGTTCTGTATTTTGGTTGCGCATCCCTTGTACAAAAAATTTTGTGTAACAGATATTCATTCATTTCATTTCATTCATTCTTCAGCAAAAGATTTTTTCCCTCCATTAGTGATTTACTTTGACTCTTGGAATACATTTAACGGCAGCCTCATGATCTGATTGACGAGTCAATAACTTCACATGGAGTCGATGGTGGGAAAAGACTCTGACGTTTATGTCCAACTAATAACAAACACCTTGCTTATAAAATAATAACCAATGTAGTTAATTTGCAGTGTAAAGTTAATAATTCAATGTTCAACATTCAATCCTGAAGTAATGAATATTCACTTTCGTACGAATGCTTTTCTTTTCACGGAACAGCAAAATCAACTTTTTATTTATTTATTTAACGAACGTTTGTAAAAAAAGAATAACATCGATCTATACGGGCAAATATATTTCTTTATTAAAAAATAAATATACACCTTATTAAAAGCCAAGAAAAAAAATTGTATTTTTTATGAAAAGAGCTCTTTGATGACTCCACCCTCTTCCAATTCTGGCATTTATGGCATTTACCAACCTGAACGTGCATTTGGTATTAACTTTCTTAATACAATTGTATTTTTATCTTTACAATATCTGTTGTTTTGATATTATTTTTATCTTTAATAATATTACTATCTCTAATAATATTATTATCTTTATAGTTTTTTACATTAACACAATCTTTCGTTGAAGTTTGAAGCCATTTTTTTTAAAAAAAAAATGGCGCGATAAAAAATATTTTTTGGGGGGAAAGGCCAGAAAATAACGTGTTTAGATATGGGAGGTCTCAACATTTGCACGTTACACGGTCTATTACACAAATTTTTTGAGAGGGCCCCTGAATCGAATTCTTTTTTGTAAATGACCATCAAAATGTGCCGTCAATGCTTAATAATATTTTTTATTCATTAAACAATTGATTGCTGCGTCCGACTTATCGAGTTTAGATGTGTGTGTATTATGTTTCCTGTTGATTTTAACAATTTCTTCATTAAGATTGTAAAACGGTACTAGTACAGCAAGAAAATGGGTTCTTGTTGGTGAAAGAAGGGTATCACAAGAGGAGGTGAGCGTCCCTTTTGACCCCCCATTATTTTTCACTTTCCATTTTAGCAAATCACCTTATTATTTTTTATTATCTTTGATATTAATATAACGGACTTTTTTTTTATAATGATCCGTTATTATTATACAGTAATAGTAATGACGTTTTCATTTAAGCTTTTAATTTCATTTGCTATTCAAAGGATTTAATATTGTAAATATCATTTTTACCCTTAAAAGTCTTATACGTAATAATATCATTCTCCACCCTTTGTTTGCCTGGAACCTCAATTAGAAGCTTTCAGGGGCCCCATATTAATTTAAATTAAAATTGTCATTTGTTTTTTAGATGCATAAAAATAATAAAAATTTCCTTTTCTCCTCACAAAATGAATTCATTACCACCATTACCAAATGAACTCAAATTCATTAGTCCTTATCTTCAACGAGCACAAGAATTACAACAAAGAGAGCCAATAATAGCTTATTATTGTAAGAAAGCCATTTTGTTACTGTTGGTTTCAAACGAGCTAACAACAACCAATTTCTTATTAAAAGATTTATTTGTATAGGCAATTATTACGCAGCAAAATTAGCCATTGAAAAAGGAACAAAAGAAAAAGGAGAAAGTCAAAATTTTCTTTTTAAACTATTAGATGTTCTTGAAAAGGTATCAATTTATCCATTTGTAAAACATTGATAATTTTTATTGTTACATATATCCCATATATCCATCAATTTACCTGCCTATTTATTCATAGGAAAAGAAAAAGTTTTCAAATAATGAGGCAGTTACAAATGATATCGTCGGTGAAGCATTCGTAGAAAATTTTGCCATAAAAATTTTCCTAAATGCCGATAACATTGATAGGGCTGGGAAGGCCACAAAGTATAAATGAGGACAATGGTTTTTTTATATACAATAATAAAATTTTTCTAATTTTTAAAGAATAATAATCGAAAACACATGCATACGTTAATTATTCTATAGGCAAACTGCGATGACTTTTTTGGCATCATCTATATTCTTGGAGCTACTAAAGATATTTGGTGAATTAAGTCCTGAGGTATGTACATCAGCATATTTATATTTTGTAATCTTATATATGTTTAAAAAATTGTTGATCATAATATTTTGATATTTTATGAATATATCATCTGAATTGAATAATATAATTTAAAGGTCGAAAATAAAATTAAATATGCGAAATGGAAGGCTGCACATATTATTAAGGCATTGAGGGATGGTCAAAGACCAATTGCTGGTCCTCCTGGAGGTGATCCTACATCACAAGAACCAACTTACGTTGATAATGTTAATACTAATGCAGGTCAACAAGCACCTGACAATAATAAAGATGATATTAATAATAATATTGGTTTTGTCCCTGGAATTGATCAATTTCCTTCAGCACCATTATCAAATGTTTCAACAACCGGGCCTCCTTTACCACCCAAATCAAATGGTGAATTTAACAAAGTTAATCTTAATAGTAATAATAACAACAACAGTAATAATGATAATAATAATAATAATAATAATAACGAATTACTTACATCCAATATGTCATTTGATAAGTTTAATAACCAACAGCCAATTATACAATCGGATTTTTCTGAACAACTTAATTCAAATGCACCTGCATTTTATGAACAAAATCCACAATATCATCATAACAATCAGCAACAGCAACAGCAACAGCAACAGCAACAACAACAACAGCAACAGCTTCATCAAACGTCACCATCACTACCGCAATCTAATGCAAACGGCTACAACAATGACTTGTTCTACCAACAACCTGTTGTTTCCAACCTTTCTCATATTCCACAACAAACATCTCAACAATCGCAAACATTTCAAGCAATTCAACCTTTTAATTATATTCAATCAATAACACCAACACAAACGGCTCCATCCTCAATACAACCGCACCACTCACAATTACCACAACAACAAAGAACACCAAATGCAACTACTTCAACCGGTCAGCAACAACAGCCAACAAGATCAACTCTAAACTTAAAATCAAATAGTCATTGTGAAATAGATCCAAACACAGTTGCAACTGCTCAAAAATATTGTAAATGGGCAGTAAGTGCTTTAAACTATAATGATTTTAAAACTGCTATAGAAAATATAGACAAGGCTAAAGCATTACTAGAATCTTATAATAACTAAATAAATAAAGGTTTGTAAATATTGGGAGACAATATGGTCAAAGACAATTAATTGTTGATTTTAAGATTGTTAAAAGAAATCATCATGTAAACCTTTTATTATGGAGGAAAAAAATTTTATTAAAAGAAACTTGGCAAATAAATATTTATTTCATCATACATAATTAACATTTCCAAAAACGAAAACTAAATTAATTAAATATTATACAATTAAGGTGAATGAACGTTAGGTGAAAAGAAGGTCATAAGAATTAATTAAATGATTGCTGTCATTATTGTTATTATATTACTACTGCTACTATTATTTATTATTACTGTTGTTGCCTTTATTTTCATCAATTTAAAAACTTTGGTGTGATTCGATTTCTTGATAAAACGATTCCCATAATTTGATTATCTATAAACAATTAAGATTATAAATCGTGAAGATTTGAAAAATTGAAATTATTAAAGTTCAATAAATTAACTTACCTCATTTTTAGTTTTTATAATAGAATCCAAAAATGACTCGATACTATTTTTAAAATCTTCGACTTTTTCTTTATCAAATCTGTCCAATTCTGCCTTAATCAATTTTGTAACATCTTCAAATTCATGTCTACAATCTTCAACTTTGTTTTCACCCTAAAATGACAATCGTTTATATTTAGTTTGAAAACTTATCTTGAGGTTTAGCAGCATAATAATAATAACCTCCGCAATTATAGCCAACATGTATGAAAGTCTTTCTTGACTTAATCTGTTTTGTGATTTTGATCTTTCATAATTTAATTTTTTTTTTTGCAAATCATTCATAGCGCTTTGCCAATTTTGATAAACTTTAGTCCTTGAATTTAAAGCCACCTAATTTTCAAAAAAATTTTATTGTTTAAAAAATCAATAAAAATTTTTTTATCAGTATTATTGGCATTATTACTAACTTTAATTGATCCAATGATGCGAATATATTCTTCAATGGTATTTTCCAATGTTAAAACATCTTGACGTGCCTAAAAATCCAATATAAAATATATATATA